GGTTTTTAAACCATTGGTTCTAGGCAATGGTTTAAAAACGGATCGGTGACCCGGATCGGGCTTTCAAAAAACCGATCCGGATCGACTAATCGGCGATCCGGATCGGAAATCGGGTGAATCGATTAGAATAAAGCTTCAAAAAAATCCGAAAAAATTATTAAAATTCATTATAAATATTGTTTTTTAGGAATTCAATAAGAAATGAGGGTACTCCATTAAGAATTTTCATGTTTTTGAATGAATATGCGAATATTGATATGTTCTTTCCCTGCATGAACCGCCATTCAACATTTAATTTACATCACACAAAAGGATAAACATAGAATTATCATGGAATAAGTACATCAACATACATGGACTACAATAAAGCATAAAATTAGTAACATACGATCTAAAAATAAAATGATAGACGACGTTATCTAAAAATAAAATGATAGACGACGTTGTTGTTCTTTTTGGTCACGCTGGTGCCATTGATTGAATTCGTTTGACAATTCATTGATTCGATCTAAAAACGAATCATCGATATTAGCGGGCGTCTGACTATTCCCAAATCCCTGAGTGTTAGTGTTTTATTGTGTTCCCAATCCAAAATCCCCGAAACTTGTCCATCCTTCATGCTCACCTGCACTGTCGTGCTCATCCTTACACTGTTGCTGTTGGGACTCGATATGTGAATAATATGGTTGGGATAGGGTGGCCTCAAAATCATCATATCTCTCATTTTCTCTTAGACCCCCTTCCCACTCTCCCTCATTAGGTGCAATATCACCGACATATTGTGGATATATTGGCTGGCTGCTTCCTCTTTCATGCTGCTCATCACTTTCTTCAATATCTTCATCATCGATAGCCTCAAGGAACGCTCTCTTGTGCAACACTGGCTCCTCCTCTTCTACTACCCATTGGTCTGCTGTGTCTGTGACAAATATTGTGTCTAAGTCTATCGGCCCATAGTCTTCAAGCTTCCTTCTTATTTATCGCTCTCTGAGGTTTAAATTATAATGAACGTACACTAGTTTATGAAGCTTCTCAGAAGCGAGTCGATTCCTCCTAGTAGTGTGCAACCATTGGAACGTACTTCAGTTGCGCTCACAGCCAGTAGCAGAACATGTTTGGGAGAGCACCTTGATTGCTATCCTCTTTAGGTGAGGTGCATCAGTACCATATATCTCCCACCATTCAGCTGGATTAAAATGTAAAAAGCATTGTAAGGGCAAGAACAATTCATAAGATTAAATATATGAATAAACAAAATATTAGCGAGGGGATAACCTGGATCCATCATAGTTCGAGAATTTCTGGTAAGTCTAGTTCCGAAGGATCCTATAGCAT